TGGAGTCCATTCTGACCCACAGCGCCCCTAGAGGACAGAGTGGAACTGCCCCACAGGGTCTCCAAGGCTGTCAGTCTTCACAGGAGCAAAGCCCAAACCACACCCACTGCCGTGGAGTCCATTCCGACCCACAGCGCCCCTAGAGGACAGAGCGGAACTGCCCACAGGGTCTCCAAGGAAGACCGGGCAGTCTACTACCGTAGACTTGGAAACCCAAGGAGGGGTCACCATGAGTTGGCGTCGATTTGACAGCAGTGAGTGAGTGAGAATCTTTATGGAAGCTGACTGCCTCATCTTTTTCCCGTGGAGTGGCTGGTGGGTTGGAACTGCGGCCCAATGCTTTAACCACTGCGCCACCAGAGCTCCGGCAGTGATTTCTCGCCCTGTAGTTCCTGTAAGAGCTGGAAGTAGCCACGAGGTGTCGTGCTGGGGCACAGCCTGGTCCGGCTCCACAGCAGGTGCTGGTCTCTTCACCTCGTAACCACAAAGGCGTGTCTCTAAAGCCCCAAGCGGACACTCGTCTCTCCCAGGCCCTCGCCACTGCCCAGGTCCCACTTCCCGTCTGCGCTTGACTGTGGTCACGCGTGCAGAGCTGAGGCACTTCACTGAAGTGTTTGCTCAACTGACCTCAACAGCCCGCGGCACGTATCACCAAAATTAAAATGGGGGAAAAGAAGGGTTTTTTTTTTTTTTTTTTTTTTTGACTCTGGAAAGAAAGATCTAGAAAAAACGGCTAGTGTGTCTGCTTTATTTCTACTTAGATTTCCTTCTTATTCCTAACACCACTCTTTCTTTAAAAAAAAAAAAAAAAAAATCAGTTTTCTGGTCTTTCAGATTACACACGGCAAAACTCAAGCCCAGGTCACCCCTCTCCCCACGTGTGATTCAGGGACACCAACACCACTCTTCTAGTTCTAGAACATTCTTCCCCTCCTTTTGTGAGCTGCTTCTCCCCCACTGACATGAACTCACTGCCCTGAGGTTCCCACTGAACCTTCTGAGTTGCCCTGTCCATTTGATCCCATTTAGACAGGGGCTCCTGCAGCACACGGATAAGACCTTGGGCTACTAACCAGAAGGTCAGCAGTTCAAACCCACCCACTGCTTTGCAGAAGGAAGATGGGGCCATGTAGTTCTGGAAGGAGTTACAGCTCTGGAAACCCAACAGGGGTCACTACGAGCCGGAATCGACTCAAGGGCAGTGACTTCGGTTTTTCACTTTGGAGACAGTGCCTTACAACAGGCTTTCCGCTGGCTGTGTTTCTGAGCTGCCCTCTGCAACTCCAGCCCAGGAACGGTTCTCTGCTGTTTCTGCTACAACTCTGCTCTGGCCTTGTCATCAAAGGGGAGTGGCCGTTCAGTTAACTCTTGGGATGGACTGTCCCCACTGAATAACGCAGACATGGCCCAGAGCTGGATGACACGTCGTCACCCACATTCTTCACTTGGCCCTGATGACTTGGGACAGATGGTGGCTGGGCTCCTGATCCTCGTTTTATACGTGGGAACCCCGAGGCCACCTGAGATGACCCACCCGAGAGGATATGCAGGGCTTGGCCCGAGGCCAAGTGCACGGAGCCAGGTGCACAGGCCACAGAGACGCCTTCCCAGAGGAGGTGGGGTCTGCGTTACAGCTCCACACCCACCTTCCGGGCCCTGCCCCGCCCAGGCCTCACCTCTCATGTTGATCAGCAGGGCCTTCTTCGCCGTCTCCGTGATGGTCCTGACGGCATCGCTGTGGGCGGGGACGTACGCCAGCTCCCAGGGATCGTCAGAAGGGGGGAAATTGAAGAACAGGGGCAGCTCGCGAATGGACTGCTCAGGGTACACAGTGGCATTGGGCACGTTTTCTGACTGGATTTTCAAGCGAAGCCAAATCAGGATCCCGGAAAACAGCAATGGCAGTAAGACTTCCAAGACAGTGACAATGACCTTCCGCTTCTACAAGGGAAGGCAGAATCGTGTGGGCCGGGGCCGGTCCGACAAGGCTGCGGGCTGCACGGTCCTGGCTGCATGTTTCTGGAAGAGGCAGAACTGGAGGGGCAGCGGGGTCCCCCGGGGGGGGGGGAGCCCCATGAGGAAACCGGGGCCCCACTTCTGAAAAGTCAGCCACTGACAACTCCATGGCACACGGTTCTGCAGAGCTGCTGCGGGCCCGGACCCTGACACCACCGCAAAGCGAGTATCGCAATCAAGTGAGTCACACGGACCTCCTGGTTTCCCAGTGTCTGAAAGTTATGGTTACAAGACACAGTCGTCTACAAAGCGAGCAAACAGCATGATGACCAAGAGACACCAAGAACAAACAGCATGGGACGCAGACAGGAAGTGGGCACGGACTGGGGCTGGCGGAACGAGCAGGGATGAGCAGGGGCGCACCGGGCACTCTCAGGAAACAGACATATGGTCGTGGGGACACGTGACAGTATGCGTTTGTCAACACCCAAGGACACATACAACACTAAGGGCTAAGGGTGAGCTTGATGGGGGCCAGGACCATGGGCCACCATCACACAGCAGTACTGGCTGGTCCACCCTAACAAACGCCCCACAGTCAGGACCCAGTGACAGGACACATACGCTGTGTGCGGGAGGCGGGAGGGGACACGGGACCTGCTGTTCCCTCTGTATAACTTCTCTGTAAACAAAAACCCGGCTCTGAAAAACGAACTCCAGTGAACAAAAGTGGCTGGTGGAGGACGGGGCAAACGGAAAGACTGGGTGCAGAGTCCCTGCCCTGAGTCCCGCTGCCCCCCGGCTCCCTCCTTGCCCCCACTGGCCGCGACGCCCACCTGCAAGGTATAGTTCTTCCACAGAAGCAGTGCCAGCTGCCGGAGCACTGCCATCTTCCCGCTGGGCCGTGCAGCTCCGCGTGATGACCAGAGACAGGTACCGGGTGGTGCAGTGGAGGTGAGGCAGGTGGGCTTGGCCACTAACCAAAGGTCGGCAGTTCGAGTCTACCAGCCGCCCTGCGGGAGAAAGACGTGGCAGTCTCCTTCCGTGAAGAGGACAGCCTTGGTACCAAAAGGGCACCATCTGCCCAAAAACAAAGCACAGAAGGCAGGAAGGGGCAGGAAAGGGGAACCAGGGAGGAAGGGGGTAGAATGCTGTTACACTGAGACTGCAACCAACGTGACAGAACAGAATGTACATAAATGCTGAAGGGGAACCAAACGTGCTCTCTGAACTTTCACCCAAACTACAAAAAAAAAAAAAAGGTTCCAGACTTGGAGACCCTGTGGGCAGTTCCACTCTGTCCTCTAGGGGCGCTGTGGGTCGGAATGGACTCCAGGCAGTGGGTGTGGTTTGGGCTCTGCTTCCATGTGATTGACAGCCTTGGAGACCCTGTGGGCAGTTCCACTCTGTCCTCTAGGGGCGCTGTGGGTCAGAATGGACTCCAGGCAGTGGGTGTGGTTTGGGCTTTGCTTCCATGTGATTGACAGCCTTGGAGACCCTGTGAGCAGTTCCACTCTGTCCTCCAGGGGCGCTGTGGGTCAGAATTGACTCAGCAGCAGTGGGTGTGGTTTCTGGAGACAGGAATGTTGAGCATGCAGGGAGAGCAGGAAGAACCAACATCAAACACAGTTCCTCTTCTTCCTGGGTTTCTTCTGCCTTTTTTGTACTGGCTAAACTCGAGACAGGAGCTCTGGTAGCATAGTGTCTAAGGCACTTGACTGCTAACCAGAAGGCTGGCGGTTCAAACCCACCAGCCACTCCTCGGAAGGAAGGTTGGGCAATCCTACTTCCGTAGTGATACTGCCTCGGAAACCCAAGGAGGGGTCGCTATGAGTCGGGGCCGACTCGACGGCATATAACAACAACAAACTCGAGACAAAGAGCCCTGGAGACACAACACTTAAGCCCTCGGTGGCCAACTGAAAGGTTAGTGGTTCAAACCCCCCAGCTGCTCGATGGGAAAAGGACCTGGTAACATGCCCCTGTAAAGATTCCAGCCTACTTAAACCAAAATGTCCCCGCAGTCTTCTCAAAATGAAAGACAGTTCAGCTTAAGTAGTAAAAAGGTTTATCTGGAGCACTGTGTTCTTTTAAAAACCATCTCTATGGGATCAAAGTGACAGCAACCCGAGAGATCAGACAGGTGGCTTAAGTAGCAGTGAGTTGATGGTAATGAGGATAACTCAGAAGAGGAGGCTGAGAAGGACTGCAGAACTCAAAGAATGTCATCCGTGTCACCACATTGTACACGTAGACACTGTTGAATGTGTGTGCTTTACTGCATGTATTCCCAAAAGGAAAAAGAAAATAAACCTTTAAAAAATCACAGCTTAGAAAATCCTATAAATCTAAAAAAGGAAACCTGTTCCCAGTGAGTTAATTCTGACCCACAGTGCCCCTAGAGGACAGAAAAGAACTACCCTATAGGATTTCCCAGGCTGTCAATCTTCACGGAAGCAAAGCCCAAACCACACCCACTGCACTGGAGTCCATTCTGACCCACAGCGCCCCTAGAGGACAGAGTGGAACTGCCCACAGGGTCTCCAAGGCTGTCAGTCTTCATGGAAGCCGACTGCCTCATCTTTCCCCTGCTGAGCCTGTGGTGGTTTCAACCAGAAACCTTCTGGTTACCAGTCGAGTGCTTTAACCACTGGCCCACCTATATGGCAGTTCTGTCCTGTCACATGGGGTCGCTAAGCGTCAGAATTTACTTGATGTACCCCCACAAGAACAAGTCCAGACAAGACCCCTTGAGAGAAGACATCAGGCCCCAACCCACCTTGTAGCCTCATGTTCTGCTCCACTCGTTCAAGGGACACGGACAGATGCCGTCTGCAGATGGGCTTTTTCTCCTACCTAAGTCACATGCCTCTCAGTGCAAGGGCTGTTCCAGCAGCCCTTGGTGAACACCCCTCAGTGCACCTCCCACTTAAGGTGGATTTGTTCCTTATCAGCAGGTCACCGGGGCTGATGGAATTCTCTGCCCAGCAGCTCTGCTAACTCACAGAACACCAGCTCGGGAGAGCTGTGTCCTGGCTCCCCGGTGACCTCTACGATTTGAAGAGGCCTGTGGGGGGAAAGGCTGGAATTGGGCGCCTCAGGGACTCTGACTGGCCTTGTGGAGCCCGGAGCAGACTGGGGTGGGCACTGCGGAGAAGGAGTGACCTGGAATTAGCAGGGCCCCTGCCTTGAACGCTGAGAACCAGTTTTTCCTGTTGTTAGGTGGGCTGCCATCTGAGCCTCCGCTGCCAGACTGACCGTGGCCATCTTTCTCCAAGGAAAACCATCCCCCCACACATTAAAAAAAAAAACTCACACAACTCCCCCACACTACACAGGAACGGGATGCTTAATCCTGGCACACGCAACCGCGAGCGCCCACCCACCGCCCGTGACAGCAAAAGCTTCAGCCAGGGCCCCCCGTGGATAGGCCCATTTTATGAAACTGCATTTTATGAATCGTGGGGTGCAGGGGCCTAGGGTCATGAGATGCTGACCTGTGAGAGAAGCAGGTGCCCAGCAATGGGTCAAGGGGACCCCTCGGTGCCCAGGAAGTGGCAGGGCTCACTCGGGAGGCGAAGGCATGGGGACGAGGTGCAGACCCAGCAGCTGTGGTCTAGGTTGGGCACACAAGACTCCTGGCTATCGTCCACACGTGGGGCCTACGGTGACAGGAGGGCCCGGAAGGTGAGAACAGCCCAGTGAGTCCCAGCAGAAGAGTGTCCCGTCCACAGCTGACACCCACTGTACGCCAGTCGGGCTAACACCGCACCAGACACTCCAACAGACGGCTGGTAAACCATCCATTTGCTCACATGCACTACCACCACCACCAGGAGCTCTGATGGCTAGTGGTCAAAGCAGTCGGCTATTAACCAGAAGGTCAGCGGTTCGAACCCACAGCCACTCTGCGGGGGAAGGATGAGGCGCTCTGCTTCTGTAAAGACGTACAGCCTTGGAAACCCTACGGGGCAGCTCTCCTCTGTCCTAGAGGGTCGCTATGGGTCCCGAACGACTCGATGGTGGTGGGTTTGCTTTGGAACACCACTACTTTCATGACCCTCCTCGTAACCCCAGGGTGTGGAACGAGAGGTTAGCTGCTGTTTAAAATGGTTAAGTTGTACTTTTAAAGGGGCCCTGGTGGCACAAAGGTTACGCTCTCGGCTGGTCACTGAAAGGCCTGGAGGTCTGCTCCTGTGAAGTGGACACCACACAAAACCCCATGGAGCAGTTCCACTCTGTCCTCTAGGGGCGCTGTG